TGGATTTATATTATGGTACATGTTATGGATTATTATGTGTAGGGTTGTTATGTGTTTTGTTTATGATTTTTAAGTTTAGGTTGTTTATGTGTTATGTTTAGGATTGTTATTTGGTATTGACCTTTATGTTATGGATTTTTAAGTCATGGATTTTTAAGTCATGGATTTTTATGTTATGGAGTTATATGTCATCCATTTTAATGTTATTGATTAATGTTATGGTTTATGTTATAAAATTTATGTGATTTGTATTCAATATGTAACAGGTTACATATGGATAAGGAAGGTCAATTTTTAGGTTTCCTTATACTCTCATGCTATTGGTTGATATTGGTTCGAAAAAGAAAAACAAGAATTGGAAGAATAAAAGTTAATGAATCGGAAGAAACCAGGCATGCATATACACAAGATTTGATACATGGATGTCCTATACAATGTTTTGATATGATGCGTCTTTCACAAGATGCATTTGTATTATTATGCAATCATTTTACTCAAAGAAATTGGTTGCAACGTAGTAGGACAATAAGCGTTGAAGAGAAGATGGCTATATTTTTACATGTTATAGGACATAATGAACGATTTCGAGCTGTTAAAGAAAGGTTTCACCACTCCATACAAACGATTCATCAATGTTTTCATGAAGTGCTAAAAGCAATGATGTGTTTTGCAAGAGAAATTATTGTACCAACATCTTCTAATACAACAAGAAATACCTCGGAACGACATAGACGGCTAAAAAACATATTTCCTGGAGCATTAGGTGCACTAGATGGAACACTTGTACATGCAGTTGTGCCCGTTGATGAACAAACTCGCTATAGGGGAAGAGGAAAAGGTGAATGTTATGAAAATGTAATAGGAATTTGTGATTTTGATATGATATTCACCTTTGTATGGGTTGGATGGGAGGGCGTAGCACACGATTCTAAACTTTTTGAAAGAAGTTGCATTTAATCCGACTTCTGGATTTCCATTCCCTCCACCAGGTTTGTCATTATTCTATAAGTTTTATTATCTATATTATTTATATGATTAATTTGTCACCTATCTACAGATAAATATTACCTTTGTGATGCCGCATACACCAACACCCGTGGATTTATGGCTCCTTACCGCAATACTAGGTATTGGTTAGTCGATTTTCGAAGAAACAAAGCTTTAACTAAGGAAGAAAGGTTCAATCATGCTCATGCACAACTTAGAAATATCATTGAACGTGCTTATGGTGTACTGAAGGCGAGATTTCCAATTTTAAAACGTATGGGTCCATATCCTTTTCCAGTGCAAAGAGACATAGTTATTGCCTGTGTTGCGGTCCATAATTTTATAAAGAAATACGATATTCAAGATGACCTATTTACGAACTTTGAACAAAACACTATGGTTACTCCTAATGTGGGAGGTGGAGGAAGTGAGGGCCAAAACCTACAAGGCATAGAATGGGGTTCAGAAGCCGTTGAGTATATGACTACTTTGCGTGACCAGATTGCTAATCAGTTACTTTCGAATGGTTCACGTTAAATGATATACTCTTTTATTATGTTTGACAGTGTGTATTTGGGTTTTGCATTACACTTTGTATTTGGAATTTAAATTATGTATGTTTATTTTGGATTTTATGTGATAATTTTTATTTTTATAATTATTTTATCCAGCACAAAAGGACAACATAAGGATAATATGGTCATTTTTATCATTCAACACAATCACTCAGATAAATAATCAAACAACATAAATGACCATATTATCCTTATGGTTCAAATCGATTCTTCTGATTTTTCTTTCTGATTTAATTTGATATCGATTTTGATTTCAAGAACTTATGGTTCAAATCGATTCTTCTGATTTTTTTCTGGTTAATCGGAATCGAAACTTAATCTTTGTTCAACATTTGTTGTTCTCATGATCGATTGGAGTATATTTGTTGTTTTGACTTGTGAATCGAGTCTTAAACTTGTATTGATCTCGTGAGAACTTTGATTAACTGTTAAAGAACTCTCAAGAACAAATGAAGAACAATGAAGAACATATTGATTATTGATGAATCAATGGGTTTGATCTGAAATTGTTCAGAAAAGTTTCGATTTGTTGTTTGTAGACTGATGAACTAAACGTCAACTAGAAAAGTCAAAATCGAATTGAAAGGATTGATTTCGAACCTTAGGAATCGAGGGTCGATTTAAGATTGCTTGGGAAGGTGTATGTCGATTTTTGTGTTTCGAAGGTCTGTTAATTGTTTGGAGTCAAATTTGGTGATACTTGTATATCGATGTCGAGGGATTGAGAATTAAGATCGAATGCCTTGAGATCAATAGTCGATGACTTGAGGATATGTTAATAGAAATCGAAGGATTGTTGACATCGAGTGTCGACTAGGACGAATTGATAATCAAATGGGTTACTGGCTTGGAAATCGTATGGAAGATTTTGACTGTATGCAAATTTATTTTGGAGTTGTTCATATTTGGTTAATTGATTTAGAGATCGAAAGATATCGGTGTTTTGGGTTACTGAAACGAAGGATGGGTATCAAAGTCGATGGGTTCATGTTCGAAGGGTTCTCAAATGTCATACTCTGATTTCGAAGGACCGATGTCGATGGATGTAAGTTTGATTTCGAAGGGCTGATATCAATGTGTTGGGTTGATCAAAGAACGAAGACTTGAGACGAAAAGCGAAGGGTTGCAGTCAATTGTCGACGTTGCTTGATTAAAAGCGAAGGGTTGATTTTGATTTGTTATCAATGACCATTCGTGCTTCGTTATTTCTGTTGAGGGCATCTTTAAGATGAAAAGCGAAGGCCATTCTGTGAATTTGGGAAGATAACCACATTTTCGAAAATGACCCTAATTCTTTAAACGAATTAACACTTTTTACCCAATTCCAAAATGATGTACAATTTGTGAAAAAGGAAGAAGTTCTCATTTAGTCTTTGTAGTTTCGAAATGTTGGAAGAAACTACCCAACTTCGAAATAGGACTAACAATTCTGAGAGATGTAGAAAATTACAGTTCAACCCCTATAGTTAATGCGACTTAACGCTTTATGCCCAGTTTCGCAATTGGGGTAGAGTTTCGCATCTTAGGCTTTTTTGGGCGCAACGGGTCCCTGCATAATTCTTATATTGACAGTTTTTACCCGGATTTTCGAAACTCTTGCAACTCTCACCCAAAAGTCGAAAATTTTCACAAAAATTGGAAAATTTTCAAGATTTTTTCGTGATTGTTTTTCCATGCAAGTTTTTCATGATTTCATTTTTGGCACACATCAAGGGGGATTTTTGTGAAGATTATTCCTTGGGCGCTTCTCACCCTTAATGGGTTTTATAATCATTTGTTAATTATAAAAAGGGGGAGAATGAAGAGTGGGTATTCGAAGCTTCTTGGGCTTCTCGGGTATTCATTTTTGGATTTGAAGATCGACATTACTTCGAGGGGGAGTTAGTATTGATCTCACGAGCTCGTTGGATATTGAAGCCGGGACATCCAATCCTAACTTCAAGGGGGAGAATGTTAGGGTGCAAAGTCACTCTTGGATGTCATGTGTGCTTACTCCTTTGTATGTGTGTAATGAGTTGTCTTTCCTTTATAAGGAAGTGAGTGACACTCATTTTATGTAAGGAACACTTTTGAGAGCATTAGTTTAGAGAGAGAGAATAATCGCAAGACCCACTTGTACTCTTTCTATCAAAACTAATGAGAGCGTAAAACGATTTATTTACTCTTGTGTTCTTCATGTTCATGATTCTTGTATTATTCACTAGATCTTATCAATTCCGCATATGTCATCATGATTTTCATCTCTACACTCAGGTTTATGTAAATATGAAGAAATGCTTATGAATCACCAAGTTTTTCTTGTACTTAGTTTCAATTTATACAATAATCTTTATTGACATTTAGTTGAAAAACTAAACTTAATGGATGTGTTAAATCAATGTCAAGCCTTATAGGACTTGATAAACTGGACTGGACCGAAAAAAAAACAGAACCATAGTATTTAGTCCGGTTCTCGGTTCATGTTTCTCAGGTCGAATCCGGAACCGGGCACATCCTTAATGAGAACACTTACTTGTAGAATAGAACTGAAACCAGGTTATATATTCCGGTTTCTGGTTCTCCATTTCCCACTAAATCGGTTTCCGGTTCTCCATTTCCCACTAAATCGATTTTTGGTTCTTCAGAGTTTTCCGTTTGGGTCCGGACTAATGCTCATCCCACTACAAATTGCTTACTATTTAAGCATGACCAATACAATTTTAAATGGAAAACAGTCAATATTGAATGAATTTGAAAAAAAAATGTTCAGTTTGGAACAAAAAATGCAATGTCAAAATTAAAAATTTAGCGTCAAAGTTGAAAAAATGAAAACTTAGCTTCTTTTTGTGTCATTTTTTTTTCAATTTTGACACACTATCATTTAATGTCAGCATCATAGAACCAAATAGTGACATGTCAACCTGTCACGTCACCAAAATCTGACACGTCAACAAACAACGTCAGCGGATAACCGAGTTGGTCATTTAAGTGGTTGACATTCTAAAAGAATACCTAGTGACTAAATTGTAAAAAAAAATAACATTGTTTCAAAATCAAACTTTAATGAAACATAGTTACTCTTGTATAATTTATCATTCTAAAAACAAACAAAACTTCATGACTTATAGTATTGAGGTATTTATACATTACATTCATTAAATCGAAATAAAAAACATGTAAGATAATAAAATTTGCTCTACAAACTTTAGCCGCAATTGCAAATAAAATTTTGTACCCATTTATCTATAAATAGTAAAAAAAAAAAAAAAAAAAAAAAAATACCAAACAAAGTATTTGCAGAAATTGGGGATTACGACTTTGAAAGTTGAAGACCAAACGATTAAGCTATGAACAAACCCAAAGAACATAACCTAGAAAAGAAACAAACCCATTGGGAACTTGTGATTCTAAAAATTACAAATTTAAATACATATTGTACAAGTCATCAATGCATATACATTATCTACCACTCTCCTCCCTCTTTATTAACTCCATCAAAAAATCATTCCAAGCATCAATAGGACCAGGCAAACACCAATGCACGCAATCATTGGCCATGGTCACATTTTGGAGTGGCCAATGTCCATATTTGCTAGGATGTCCATCGGGTCTCAATTGCATAACTTGTGTCATGTCCATAATGGTAATTTTAACACCATTTTTTCTTCCTTCTCTCTCTCCAATCTTGTACTCTTGCAATTGAGTCTTGTACATTTCCAAACTATAATCCTCCATCACACTCTCATTACTCTTGAAAGGCTTTGTTCTTACACAATCACCCCCTTTATCCCAATGTCCACCTTCAAAATGTGAAGGTACAAATGACCTTAAAAAAACAATACCCTTGAAGTTCTTTAAGCTATTAATTGCCCGAAAAGCAGTTCGCCACGCCCTCCGGTAGCTAAAGGTGGAGGGACGGTGTCGGATACTGCTTTCTGGGCAGTACAGACACCCAATGATAAAACGGTTTGAGTAGAACATGGTGGGTCGAAAAAACCATTGGCCAGCTGATATTATGACGTAGTCGAACTGTTCAATCTGTGATGTCCAGGATTCGTCAAATTCATCGAGGTATAGTTTGAATGGTTTTGTTATATCATTACGGTCGGTTCTATCGGTGTTTACTAAATAAGGGGACCAAAAAATCGAAATGTTGAAGTTGTAATCCGGATACTCCCACCGCCTGAAATTTTGATCACTTGAGGTTGAAACATCGTTTGGATATGCAACCTGAATATTGATAGATGAAATATAAATAAAAAAAATAAAAATAAAAATAAAAAAACATTTCTTTATATTATGATGCTATAATACATGGTTCAGAACATCATATGAAATTTACAAATATTTTTCAAAGACAGAAATTACATGCATCCATATTAAATATCATAAACTATTTATATTAATGATAATAAATAAACTTAAATACAGGCTAGCCCAAGAGGGAGCAAGTTGGGCTACAAAGAGAAACTCCTATCAACAGCCCAAATTCCAAAATCTTGACATCATTCTTTTGATTCAAATTTATTTTTTGATTTTTTTTTTGGCATATAATATATGTACATTTGGATTGGTTCTGCTTAAATACTTATTGTTTTAATTTAACTTTAAATAACCATATTGTTGAGGTATATGAAATATTGTGTATGTAAAATGCAATCTATATTCAGATTTATTTGGGTAAAAATTCAACGTCAAGTTTTTTGTTTACGTCATTTAAAAATAAATAGAACAAAAATCCTTCTTCTTTTCCTTTTGGTTAACCAACTCTTAAATAATTAAACATCATTGGGGTTTTTTATTTTATAAAAACTATCAATAAATATTATTAGATAACACCTCAACCTAGGGGTGTGCATAAAAACCGCAAAACCGAAAAACCGAGCCGATCCGGCCAATCCGAAACCGAAAAAACCGAAACCGAAACAAATCGAAACCGAAAAAAAACCGAAACCGAAAAAACCGGGTACCTACGGGTCGGTTTCGGTTTTGATATTAAGATATCCGCGGATACCCGAACCGAACCGTCATATATATATATATATATATATATATATATATATATATATATATATAAATGAATTTTGTTCGATGTCTAATTTCAAATTGATATGTCAAGAAAACAAGGAAACAATTAAAGATGCGTTCCAATGCATATACAAAACACACGGAAATTAAGATCATAACTGGCATGACGCTATCATTCAATTATTAACTATAAACTATAAAGTGTGTATATATGTTTTTTTTATCAACATTATCATATTTATCAACTTATCACAAGTATGTTTTATGTCTGTCTATTTAATTTTCAGAAAGCATGGCTAAAATGGACTTTATAGCTTTGATTGATTTTTATTTTTTTGTATTTAGCGGGTATCCGTGAACCGAACCGTGGTTACCCGCCTTTACACGGTTCGGTTCGGTTCGGGTTTTTCATCATTTCGGTTCGGTTTCGGTTAGTGCATGTAAGGTACCCGCCCCGTGGTCACGGTTCACAATTTTATTACTATCCGAACCGAACCGCCCCGTGAACACCCCTACGCTCAACCTTATCAATTTGACAGGGAAAGAACAAATCCAGATACAGATACATATATAATAATATATAGATAAAAGTTAATATGATTTCACCTACATTAAGAAAGTGATGGCAATTTAAATAGTTAAAAAAATTATTACATTTCGGATAACGGTAACGATAACGATAACGATAACGATAACAACTTTTATCTATATTATCTTTAATCGTTACACATTAAAAATGTAAATTTCATAAGTAGATATTTATCAAACTGGTTAATTTGTGGAAAGTAGTTGAAAATTCTCAACAAATTATTCTTATTTTCTCGTGTCATGAAAATTGTTTTTTTAATTTATATCATACATCAATTATAGTACTACTCTACTCATAAATCTATATTTTTCATCTCAAATGCTACTTTCGATAGGGTTGTTAATCGGGTCAACCCGATCGGGTTTCATGTTAAACAGGTTGGGTTGGTCAGGTTCATAAAAATAAAAATTTCATCAGAAACCTGACCTTATTAAGATTCGGGTTAATCAGGTTACATGTTATTAGAGTCAGGTTAATCGGGTTGGAATGTAAGGTGGACTCACGGACCCAACAATATTGTTAAAATGTTATTTTAGTAAAGAATCTATATGTCACTAATACCAATGAAATATCATTCATCTTTTAAACATAAGTTTTTACAATAATTTCTATATTAGTATGTCACTTATCTTTTTGAAATGGTCTCCATTGTCACATCATCAATTTTTTTATAGTTTTTAAAAATATATTTTAAATTAAAAATTAAAAATTACCTAATAATAATTTAAAAATGGATATAACTGTATATAATAAAAATAACTTTTATAATGTAAAATAACAAACTAATGATAAATTTAGTTTCCTATATTGAATATTTTATATACTGAGACGTTACAAATGATAAAACAAAATTATAATATTATTTTTTATTTTCTTTGTCAAATATTGGTTTAGTTATTTATATATTACTATTTGATTAAATTGACTTGAGAGAGTAACGAAATTTAAATTGTGTTCACATTTAGTCATTGAATTTTGTTTCGTACTTGATTTATTCATGAATTAATTGAAATTATTAACATTTTACCTTTATGACCGGTTATAACTGATCATTAGGGTAAAATGTGAACAATTTCAAATAATTTAGGGGTAAATCAAACATGAAAAAAGTTTAATGACTAAATGTGAACAAAAATTGATAGTTTGTTACCCTTTCAATCCATTATCCCGTAAATGGTTCTAAATGTTATTAAGAATGAGCACAAACTGAATATGAAGGTCTCAAAAGTAAGGATGTTGTAGTAATCGTGCGATATACATTTATTGTGTAAGCTACTAGAACAACACTTAGAAATGCAATCGAAGCGACTTTAATCACATAGAAATTGAAGAAACAAAGATTATGGTGGTTTCAGACACATACTTAGGACATAGGCAACAATTTTCACTCCATAGGGTGGAGATGGTTGTTGTAGATCGTGCGAGGACGAGAGAACATATGATAAAGAAGTGTGAAGATAATGCAATGTTAAATTTGAATGAGACTTTTCTCTTTACAAGGAAACAAGATTTGATTAGAGAGTGTGGATGCATAATGTCAAGGTCGTGGAGTAGTACATGAGTAGTCTATTTGTATGTTGGTTCTATATATACCTTCTCACCATGCTTCTTTTTATTTTCGATCTATTTTTCGTTTTATTGCTCGTATATGTGTCCTTTTGCCTTTGTGAAACTCTACTGATTATTTCTTCTTTGTAGGTTGGCGTTTCACTTATATGTTAATAAAGAAACTCTAGTTAAAAGTTTTTCTCACTAACTAGGATTAAAGCAATGAACTACAACATGGTTATGTGATACGTATTCTATTCTGTAATACTCCTTACAAACACAACACAAAACAAATCGTAGTGACTAAAATCAAAATTATTAATCTAAGTAATTGCTACCAATAAGTAAAATAAACTAAGGAATGATTACAAAAAGGGATAATGACTTGAAAGGGTAACGAACCTTCAACTAGTTTATATTTAGTCACTGAACTTTTTTCGTGCTTGATGTACCCATGAATTATTTGAAATGTTCACATTTTACCCTTATGACCGACCATAAGGGTAAAATGCGAACAATTTCAGATAATTCAGTGGTAAATCAAGCACGAAAAAAATTCAGTGACTGAATATGAACAAAGTTAAAAGTTTGTTACTCTCTCAAGTCATTATCCCTTCAAATATTTCTATATTGTCTTGATGTGGAAGGTCTAAGTACTTGATATATAAAATAGTAATAGTGAATTTGTGAAGTTGTTTTTTACTATATATGTATTGTACTCAGTAAAAATGCAAACTTAATCAATACATATTTAAAACGGTACCATATGCATTAACTGTTGTATATTGCGTTCGCATATAGAGACTATTCATCGGGTTATATGGGTTACCCGGATAAAAGCAAAGAAATAGGCACGAAACCCAAGCTTATACTAACTTTTGGGTTTGTCAAGTTAACCTGAATAACCAAATTTTCCTTTTAGACCCTATTAAACCCGACCTTATATATCTAATTCGGGCTCGAATTGGGTTAATCGGATTCAGGTATTTTTTACAATCATGGGTATTGGAATCCTCATTTGACTAAAAGACACATTTTTCCATCAGCTTCTAATATCATTGGCCCACAAACACTTTGTAATATATACTAGGTCCCTAAGGGTGGAGAGAGTCACACCTTCCTAACCCATATGTCACATAGGCACTACATTAGCATTTCTATCTCCTTTAACTTCCAATTCTCCCATCTCTAAACACTTTAAAATTCATTCCTCTCAACCTACACACTTTGATGCAATAATACAAGCATGGATTACAACTAAGTAATGTATAATGTCTAAAGGGTAGACGGGTTCACTAAATGCAGACAAAATCATTCGGTACCACAGGATGTTAGTATATGTGTTAGCATGGTTGCAGAAATCGGGATTAATCGGCGATTAATCATGGATTAATCGCTTGGCGTTCTCCAACCGTCGAGGATTAGGGCATTAATCGGAAATTTAGGATTAATCGGGTTTGACGGGATTAATCGGCCTTGGCGGGATTAATCGGTCAACAAAAGTCAACAAAAGTCAAAAAAGTCGAAAAATGTCAACAAAATTTAATAAAATTTAAAAAAAAATTTCAAAAATTTCAAAAAATCTACTTTTTTTACTCCAAAATTTTCAAATTTTCAAAATTTCGAATATTATACCAAAATGTTCATATTTTCGTATTTCCAAATTTCCAAATTACAATTTTTCTTATTTTCTAATTTTGAAGTACTTGTTTTTCTTAAGATATATTAATATTTAATTAATTTTAATAGTTTATTAATAATCTATGGTATCCGATTAATCCCCAATTAATCCCCGCCAAGACCGATTAATCCCTTAACAACAGTCGACCGTCAAGCTACCGTCGAGCGATTTTTACAACCTTGTGTGTTAGTATGTATGTTGTGTATATATTTTCTTGTATATGCATGTATGTAGTCCATATTTATATTAGGCCCTGGGTTAGCCCAAAACCTTATTGTATATATGACACATGTATTTTATCTCAACAATTCAATGAGGATATTTCTCATTCCATAATATGGTATCAGAGCCATCTCCTACCGCCTAAATCACTCATCTAATCTC